AGGAGTGGCCGGCAGTAGAAGGGGCCGCGATGCTTCCCAGTTGCTCCAGACACTGTCGGCTGACTACAAACGCTAAGTGCTTCCTGTGTGGCTGTGCTGCCACACATCAGTTGCAAGGGTCATTACTGCACTTCCTCCTAGACAGTGATTTAGAAAAGAGTAGAAGAAAACTGAGGGAGGGTCTCGGTTTCTCACGGTAACGATACAAACTCAGTATAGTAAGTAATGATGGGTTGTGTTTCCTCCCCCGGCTGCTGCTGCTGTCACTCTCCGTAACTTTTTGCTTCCACGGTGCGGAATGTCGGCTCGTGTTTATCACATGACATCTCCCAGACTTCGCCATAATGAACCTCGTTTAGAGATGTTTCTCCTGCTCCCCACGGCTGATTTCAACTCCCTCTGATGCTCGCGTTACATCTCAATGTCTCGGCCCAGTACGATTATCCCTGCTTTAGGTCTATCTGCAGATAGAGATGACGTTTTTGGCCATATCAGCCTGCTCCTGTCCCGCTAAAAAGACACACAGGTATTTTTTTTCATGATCTCCTGCTTCTTTATTGACTTTGTCTGGAAGGAAGAAGTCTGTTGATCCACACTCCTGTCTTACTTACTCTTACCCTTTGTAACCTTTGCTCTCAACAAAATGAATTAGATTTTTATTATTTTAATTTACTTTAAGACATTTTTTTGTCATGTGCAAGTGAGAAAAACTTGGAGTCAAACAGTAGGATCAGTCAGCATCCTCGGAGCAATTGTGGTTAAGGGCCTTACTGATTACTGTTCAGCGATGGCATTCAAACCAACAACATACCGTACAAAGGCACAGATCCATAACCCACTGAGCCTCACATCACCCTTTTTCACTTGCCGTTATTCATAATGATGAATGCCATTAGAACCTTCTGGATCGGGGAGCACATACCAAGGCATAAGTCTTCCAATCTTTGTCCATCTGCTCTTGCTGATGAAAAAGCCGATGACTGGATCAGACACAGCACCCCACACCTTCCCAACGAACAGCACCACGGAGGCCTGGAAGGGGCTAATCTAAAAAGGACAAGTGTGGTCACTTCACAAGGGACAATCACGTTTTGGCCCGAAACAAATGCATCTTTGTGTTCTTCAAATGTGAATGTGTTTTGAATCTCAGAGAGTCTCTTTAACGATGAAGAACATTCATCTGGACACTGCATTGAGCATTCATCCAGGTGTCGCAATGGAACACTGCATGGAAGATTAATCCAGATGCTGCACTGGACATTCATTCAGGTGCTGCACTGAATGTACATCTGGATGCTGCATTGTCTCTGGGCCATAATGAAATTCTGTGCCCTTACCTGGGCAACATCCAGCAGGTAGATCTGCAGGAAGAATCCCGTGGCGCTCCCAGCTATTTGGATGGGAGCCCCTCCAATGGCAAAACACAGCTTGCTAAACACTGACAGTCGCTGATCAGGGCTCACCTGGAAGAAGAAGAAGACATTTTCAGATCCAGGAGAAATTAAACAGAAATAAAAGAATACATGTACCTGACTAACTTGCTAAGACAGATTTTAAAAATACATTAAAAGAGATCTTCAACACAGGAGACATGAAGATGTTTGTAGCATGGGGATTTGGGAAATCTGTGAGTGAAGGACATTTGTTTTACAGCATAAAGATTTAATACCCAAACTTTGAAGTAAACTGGATCCAAAGCAAACCTGGCAGTTGTTTTAGTTCCACTCCAGCAATAAGCAAAGCCATATTGATCCTCCTAAAGCAATTAATTAAAATCACAGATAGAGCCGATCCACCCGGCTACCTTTTCCACTACCCTACAGCAGGGATCACTGCAGAAATGACCCAGTCTCCAATTTCAGCTTTCAGACATGCATCCATGCACCCTCAAGGCTGGAGGACCTGCCGCAGACCCCAGGGCTAGCCCACTGTCCTTCCAGCCACATTCAGGAGGTGCATTGCAGTAGATCCTGTGATTTCAAAAAATGCAGCACACCAATATTTACGCAGTCTGCCGAAGTCGCCGAGTCAGAGGAGGCCCCAGCGCTGTTCAAAAAGGGCTCCTTCATATGGGTGTGGGGATTTCTTTGCCGCGACCGGTCCGTGCTAAAAATACCCGATGTCAGTGGAAGAGGGACGGAAGCCTTTTTCACACATTAAAAAATGTGGTCAGGCTGGTGCCTGACTCTCAAAAGAGGAAAACTATGATTATATTCAAAGCATAATATTTAAGAAAGCTCTGAAATTAAAAAGGCGGAGATGCATCCATCAATTGCCACGTTACAAAGATCTGGACTATATTTGAGTGACTGTTTATTTAACGTTTGCTATCTTCATCAATTTTTAGTGGCAGCGCCAGTGCTTTTGATTGAGGCTATGACAAGGAAATCCTGACAGTGACCGCGTGATACAGCAGATATCCTATTCAAAAGCTCTGTAATTAAGTCTACCACTTTGTTTAAACATTCAAGATTTTTGTTTAAAAAGTGTAAACAATAGGCGATTTGTGCTGTACAGAAGCTTTTTTAATATATTAATTTCAATTAATTTTTATTTGTCTTTCTTAACAAAAAGTGTGGTTCTATATTGATTATTGCATAAATAAACCATTTTATAATTTAAATTTGTCTTATGTCAAGACCATCTGTGCCCCTTTGACGCCCACGTTCACAAGTGGTACCATTCAACAAACCAGATGGAAAATGAGTTTACCTCTAAAAGAATAATAAAAGAATGAACAGCAATCAAGTCTGCGACTGAAATCTGCCTTTGAAGAGATGGGTGGAGAACACATTTGGGTAATGGTATTATTTACAAGTTCCTGTCCAGTTCAGAACAAACAGGAAATGGCTCCTTCTTTACACAAAAAAGTTCATATTAAAACTATGTAGATAATGACAGCGATAGCATACAACATGTTTGAGCAAGAATTTGTCATTCATGTTTGTCTTTTTATATATCTTTATCTCAAAATCTGCGTAACAGACAAAATTCCAGGGAAACTAAAATCCCCAAGTAATTTACTCGTCCTCTTAAGCTAAATTAATTAGCTTTCTAGCAGGTAACACGGAAACCAAATAACGCTGAAATCATCTTCACAAAAAGGTGATATACGGTAAGTTTCATGAAGATCAAAATCTAATCCAAAATCCTCCAGCGCTCTTTGAAGTGTCAGTAGCCTACTTTAGATAGAGTTTTGGCCGTTAGGGGGAGCCACTTTCAGTGACTCGCGTTTACAGCGACTTGCCTGTGGCGCGCAGAATTAGACATATTAACATTTTCACTATTTGTGGGGGCATTTTTAACTTTTAACTGATATTTAATTTAAAATGTATTTAGTCACACATGCTTTATTATTATTTGATTAGAATGTTCTATCAGGTAGAATACATAAAGTATGACACATAATTAACCAGCCAAATATGCCGTACATTAGTCTAAATAAAAAATAATAATAACTCTGACACGTAAATCCAAGCCATTTCATTCATTTTCTCAACAAACATTACTAGTCAAGATTTGAAAATATATCAGTTAATTAAACTCCAATGTTTTGTTCTCATTACTCAAATCGCAAAATTGAAATGACAGAGCGAATACACTGAAGCATTTGGAAATCATTTTTACACACATAAAAACCGACTTTTCTTACTGGCCACTTTACATCAATTACATTCTTTTCATGCGCAAATGTCTGTTAGCGCCGGACTTTAATGTATATAAGCTACAACAGACAAATGTAGCCTATATATTCATAGGCTATTTACAAACATTTCGCAAGGTCAATAAGTAGCCTACGTATTCCGCTTTATAAGTACAGCTGTACAAAATACAGTATATCAAATTTAACTTAATTACTTGTCAATTTTTTTACACTTCAAAAAATAAATGGCTTCAATTCAGATATTTCTGTATGGGTTTCTGCCGAACTTTACCAAAAATCAACAATTTTGTATCACAATGAGCTATAAATATCTGTAAATAACCTAGCTGTTAATATCTGAATGGTCGAGCAGAAACATTTACATTTCCATGTATTTTATTTGGCAGACGCTTTTGTTTAAAACGACGTGCAAGTAAAGCAAACAGCACATTACGAGCAAATGACTTGTCAAGGAGTCGGCATGAGTGCAGCTAAACGATCGTGTCCACCTTCACTTCTATGTGCAATAACACAGTATGACTCTGAAATCGTAAGTAAATAGACATTTTGTTGTTTTATTCGTTATACACTTTACATCACTCATGCTTTATAGATTACAGTTTTGCAGATGTATCCGTGCACTTTATGCTGAGGTAGACAAGTCAGTTTCCTTTTGGGATCAATAAGTGTATCATTTATCTATCGACATCAGCGTTTATATTTAACATACAATTAAGGTATTTAAATTAAACCCGCATTTCTGCATTATAATTTGGAGTATAATCCAAAATTAAAACAATGTTAAGACAGAAATACTTTTAATACCATTACATATTAGATTATTTCGCCGACCTAAATCCAGACTCACTGTCACTTTAGTCGCATCTTATGGCATTTAGTGCCTTCAAAGAAAACGGCGAATCTGAGGAACAGGGAGCGACAGTAAAGACAGAAGGCAGCCTAACCTGGTGCTGGACTTTGCTGAGGAGTGAGTCAGGGTTTTTGAAGATCCCGGCCGTGGAGCTCTCCATTGCTCTCTCACCCTTGGCCATCGCGGTGACTGAGCGTGACTTCCCCGCAAACGCCAATGCCATTCACATGCTGCTGTCAGGCTTGGGTGGGAGCCAGAATGGGAGGACGGCGTCAAAACGAATTCTCTAATAAACAGGTTTGTCAGTCCTCCAGTGCTCGGCTAATTACTCTCTGCACAAATCCCTCATGATGTACCTCCCATGTCTGAGATCACTCCGAGAAGTTCGGTACAAGGGTTTTTCCAGATACCAAATAGCTAGATCACAGCACATGTCATGATTTAACACACATTTCTTAACATTACAGTTTTAACGGCAACTGTACATTATGAACTGCCTGTCCACTTTTAGCCCTGAGATGTCTTCGTTTCATGATAATTCAAGGAAGAGTCCATTTACCTGGGTGTTAGTGGATGTGATCGGCTGTGCAGGATGTTTTATGCTGTGTTTCGTGATCCCCGCAGAAGCGTCAGATACTGCGGAGGTTTGACAGCGTAGCTGAACTCGAACCTGCCTGAGGGTGTAACCTGCGCCCCCTGGCGACGGAAAGGCGTCAGCGCGTTTGCTCGAGGCAGTGGCAGCTCTGGGAAATACCCGCCATCACTAACCTGAAGCGCTTCAGCATTGATCTCACACTGAGATTATTTCTAAATTTAAAGTTGCAGCTGGCAAAAATATCACAGTGCAATGCGCGTTTTGTAACGGGGTCTTAATCGATGTCTTGTTCCCACGCTATTGTTAGTAATATAATTCCGGCATTGAGAAATGTATAGGGAATGTATGAAATGCTGTGTGATGAGTTAGAGTAGGATTATGCCCTGGCTGAGCCTTTCCAAAGTCTCAGAGCGGTTTTTCAGAAAACAGGAGTGTCGCGCATCTGCATTCCTGAGGCATGAGCTGCACATACCTGCCGATACCTTTGCAGTAATTATGCCGCTAAAGCTTCACCTCTTGCTGGGCCTGCAGAATGAATGGCGCATTATTGCCGTATAACCTCACAAAACGGCCGGGGAAGCCCTTCCCTGCGCGTTACGTTTGGCATCAGCATGCACGTGGGGTGCATTAAGGTTACAGTATTCCCATAGCAGCAGACTCCATATGTCTGGAGCAGACAGATAGACATTGCTTAGATATTCATGGATAGCATATGTCCTATTTTTCATCATCCATCCCGGTCAACGTTACGGGGTGGGGGTGGGGTCGCTGCAACTTCCCATAAAAAATATATATATAAAAGTCTGAAATTGGCAAAGAGTGTAATGGGCATCTTTAAGTATGAAATTAATAATGCTTCAAATTAAAATTGAATTGAAGCTCAGAATGCCCCAGGTTCTGATGACTGATGTGTAATGTTAATGTAATTTTATTTTTATTTTATTTTTATGTGTCATATTTCCTTATTACAATAGTACATTCTCTCGCACAAAAGACATTTCACATTCTAACCTATTGATAGCTTTGAGAACCTGCTGCATTTTAGGTGTGTAAGATATTGTGAAAATTTTTGCAGACCATACATAGATTTAGTGTCTTGTAATTTCAGTAGTACTAGTGTTTGTTTGCTCAAGAACCAGCTATATTCAAACTATACACTGTAATATTTGTCTCTAGGGTGAAGATATGTGCTTTGTGAACAGTACAATGAATGGATCAAAAGCCAGCTAGTTTCTGTGAACCCAACGCTCACCTAACCCTCTGATAGAGGATTTTATTTTATTTCAGACAATTATCTCAAAATGTCATTATTTCCAGTTAAGAGAAGAATTTTACCAACACAACAAAACACATTAAATATGAACAAATTCACTAATTAAAAAAATAGAGAATTTTACAATGCAAAAACCTGCTGATACCTTTAGAGTAATTATGCCGCTATGAACTATTTGTTCTATTCTTGGTATTAATAAAACTTTAAAAGAAGGGAATGGATCTTATTCTCAGAAACATTCTGGCAAATGTTTAAACTGCCACTTGTCAAAAAATGCAATGTTTTTCTGCTTGGAATTCGGATTTTGTCGTGGTGGTTTGAACACCTTAATTTCCTTCCACTATCTGGAATATTGAAATTGGCCTCATGATTAGCACTGTGTTCAGCCTGTGGAATTTGCACCTACCCTGGCCTGAATATAGATGTATAATGAAGTGATGCCCTTAATGTCGATGGGTATGCATTACATGCACCGAGACAGAAACCCAAGACTACTGTCCATGCAGCAGAAAAGCATTTATTGCGACAAATAAAATAAATCAACTAATACATATGTATGCATTTTGAACTATAAAACCATTTATGGCTTAACTGTATGTATTGTGGTATTTCAAGTTCAGCTCCCAATATATTTGCATGAAAACGGTTTCATATAAAATTTTTAGCCAGATGTACATTATATTATTAAAATATCACATATATTAAGCAAAAGTTCACAAAGTAAACAGGCTGCAAACCAGAATGGAGACGATGTCATTTATTGGAATCAGTTCATTTAGTACCGATGATTAATCTAAACGTGTTTCTTGATTGTTTTCCGTGAAGGATGCAAGAGTGACAGCGACAGAGACCGCATGTGAAGTGCGACCTTTAGACAGCTAATTTTGCCCTTATTATTGTTAGCATGTATTGTAGCAGTAACAGTCTTCTATATAATCAAGTTTACACAAAAAAATCAGATTTCAACTGCAGACTTCATGGAAAGTCATAATTTCACCCATAAATCCAAGCAGTCCGGGAGATTCGAGGCTTGAAAAGCCTAGTCAGAGATTATCACGTGCAGTCAGTTACCAGATTGTTTAACCTACTGCTTATTTTAGTGGGTTCCATTAGGTTCTCACATAGTTAACTTATGAAGGTGTTGTGTGGCTCTGTGGTTGTGATCAGAAATCACTGTTTCAAACCCTGCGGAGGGCAGAGTTATGCCTCTATTGGGCCCTTAACCTTCAATTGCCCCAGGGACAGTCTGATCCCGCTCTCTCAAAAACATGTATGTTGCTTTGCATAAAGTGTCTGCTAAATCAATTAAATGTAAATGTAAGAAGCGACTGGCAGAACAGCACAGCATAGTCCCATCCTGGCCTTTGAAGCCTCCTATAATCTGCCAGCACAGTAAAGATAGTAAACGTCATTTTGCGTGGATACTCTATAGTACATGCAGGCAGTCTCTCGAAGCTTCCTGCTCGTGTGCATATCAAATAAGTGGAAGAATCTGTATTCTGCATACAACATGTTTGTGTGCGAGCTGGTGAACAGGTGTCCGGGTGCCCGCTTGCCGCAGAGACGGCCGCGGCAGTTTGCAGTGTCGCTACAGTGTGCCGCCGGTCTTTGGTCTCCTCAGTTAGCGCCGTCGGATGGGGACAGCAGGGGTCGCTGGACAATGACGGCGTTGCTCAGGTCGGCCTCCTGCAAGCTCAGGTCTGGCTGCCTCAGCTCGCGGAAGGGAAGTGACGTCGTGAGGATGAAGGGCGAGCCGGAGCTCTCTGACTGCTGCACGAAATCCCGCACATCGCTGATCCTGGAAGGCCACACGTACAGCAGCTACCTCAACAGTCATACTCTAGTTACATACATTACAGTAACTACATCATAATGACTATTTAACATAAATTCTATACTTCACACAGGGGCATGGGAGAGTTTTTGATATAGGGGCCACACAGTTTCAAAATTTAATGCAAAGGTCTATTTATTGGGAGGGATAAATGAATTGGGGGAGGTACATGTCCTTCCCAGTTCCCCTTAGTTCCTATGCCCAAGACATCATTCATCCTTTCATCCATCCATCCATCCATCCACTATAACACTATAACAGCTTGCTGACTTGGTGAGACACAAGTTAATCTGCAGGCCCTGCATATTAGACAGCTAAAGTGAATAACTAGCTCAGTTCTAAGGGAAAACTCCCAGCCTTTGCAAACTGAACCTCACTTCCTTCCCTCTGGTCGCAGGTTTACAGTCCTAAGGTAAGGAAATGACTCAAAAGCAGGTTTGTTCCAGCAACCATCGCACAAATAAGTAAGTTACAGTTACAGTACACCACTGTTTTTGATTGTGTTTGAGCTATATTTATTATGTTACTTATTATGTAGTTGTTATCTTAAGTTGCCTGTGCTGTAAGATGAATGATGTGTGGTAAGTGTCTGTCTGTAATGTGTGTCTATGGATGAGGACTGCAAACCAAATCTACCTGCAGGCACAGATAATGTAGGCCTGTCACTATCGATTATATCAAAGCTTGAGCTTGTTAATCTTTTTTTTTTTATTATTATTTTGTCCTTTTTTTGACACTTTGTGGTTCTGTTGTTTTGTAGTTCACCCCAGTATGTTCTCCGTCTTCCATAAAGCCCTTTTTGTCTTGGAGCTGCAAGTGGATCATCACCTTTTTCCAGCAGTAAAGCCACCACGCATGGTGAACATGTGAAATCAACACTGTACCGAATATTTACAAGGTAATAAAACTGTTACATACATGTTAATGCGTGTGCAGATTTGTCTTATTGAAAATCTCACGCCAGCTAGCTGACCACAGTTGGCAACCCTGTGTCATGTAAGACAGGGGCTAACCTTCATTTTAGCAGTGATTATTTTGACATACATGAAGCGTAGAAAGTAAATTAAGCGAAACAAGTCAACGTGATGACAAAGACAGGCTAGGCAACTCCGCCACGCTAAACAGCACACATCTACAGTTAAAATTGCGTTATTCCCACATTCTCCGAATGTCGTCTTTTAAGATATACTTGCATTGCAGTCGTTCTGTGGTGATATTTAAGTTATGCTTTGCAATACTTACAGATGACTGCATTTTGATTCACTTTTAATGTGAATGAAATTACTTTGTACTGCATCATATGCTATGCACGTCTTCCTTCCGCCACAATGCAGAGTAATCGAGAAGGAAAATTTTAATCAATGCTTTTTAGTAATTGACTTTAATTGCATAATTGTGACAGCTCTAAAATAAAGTAACTTGAACTTGATAATTTATAGACAAAAACAGCAAGCAATTTTGTCATAAAACAATAATTCAATGCATATATAATTAGAATGTATTATAATGATTTTTGTATACTTTATATCCATCCACCCGTCTTCTTTAACTGCTTATCCTATTCATGGTTGTGTGGGGGGGGGTTGCATTTGCTACAGGTGCAAGGCAGGGAACGACCCAGGATAGGACACCAACCCATTGCTGGGCACACTCACACACCATTCACACACTCACACACCATTCACACACACTCACACACCATTCACACACACTCACACACCATTCACACACACATGCACACCTATTGGCAGTTCCATAACTGGAGTACCCAGTGGAAGCCCACATAGACCCAGGCAGAACATGTAAACTCCACACACATGGAGCCATGGCAGAGATGCAAACCCAGGTCCCAGAGGTGTGAGACTACTGTTACTTAATATGTAAATGGTTTTTAATATAGTTAGAATAAGGTTTTAAATCCTACCCAATTTGTGAAACAATGCAATTTTAAGTGCCACTGAAGTACCATTCATTTCTCATATGGGTGGCATCTACAGTGCGCTCTCATGTAATCTGACTCCACTTCCCTCACCTGTGAGAAAGGTTGAACTTCTGTACCAGTCGTCTCCCATCTGCCAGCCAGATCTGAAGGCTGGTGACTGGCTGTGTGTCATTCAAGGACACTGACGGCACAGTGGGGGTGCTGTCCTCTTTGTGTATTGACGGAGACCTGGCTATTATCCTGGGTGCCACGCTGCATGAATGAAAGATGTTGAACAAATTATCAAGACCTTATATGGGTTTTAAACATGGTATGCATGAGGCTTTGTGGCGGTAATGCCATCCCAACAGCTCACCTAGGGGCTTAACAGAAAAATGTGACTCGACTCGGAAATTAAATTCCAAGCATTCTGCTTTTGTTTTCGGCTACTTACATGAGAATACAAGGGGAGGGGAGACTTTGATGATCTCAGTACTGTTTATACAGTAACTGGTTTGGTTCACGTCATGATACTGATTGATTCCTGTATGGCGATTAGTCACAATACTGGTTTGGAGCCAATGGTATCCCTATGTGACAAGTCCAAGCCAACAGGCAAACAGGGATACAAGACACAGTGATGACTTAATCTAATTAATGACTAATTTAGTATGGGACAAATTTGAGCAGAGACTAAATGTCAGCGTCATCATTAGTTGGCTAGGCCATTACCTCAGAATCCAAATGTGTGGAAATGTTATAAAAGACTCAGTGCTAAATGTTTAGGGGCGTACATATCACTGACATAAGTCAGAGAGACAGCTGAGAATTGATTTGACCCTGTTTAATTTGAGTAAACGCGGACATCCGTCTCAGAACAAAATAAGGGCTTTTGGAGACACCTAGTGGTCAAGCACAGTAAAGGCAAAACAATTTTAAAACTAGGATTCCGGAGCAGAACACAATACTAGGCCCCACCTGCCCAGTCGGTAGCCTCGGCCAGTGAAGGGGTGGAAACTCTTCTTCCTCGGCACATACATCTCTTCCTTCAAGTCTTCTACATTCACTTCCAGTTCTTCTTCCTCCGCTGAGTTTTCCAGCTCTGGTGGCAGCTCCCTTTATGTGAAGGAGACATTAGCATTTGGCTGTACACTATATAAACAAAAAAATTGAGACACCTGGCCATTACACCTACAGGAACTTTTATGACACCCCATTCTAAATCTATATGCATTAATATGGCGGGGGTCCTTGCTTTGCAGCTGTAACAGTTGCCACTCTTTGGGGAAGGCTTTCCGCAAGTTTAGGGAGTGTGTCTGTGGGGATTTTTGCCTGCTGATCCAGGACAGCATTTCTGAGGTCAGGCACTAATGTAGGACATGAAGGCATGAAGCATAGAATTGTCCAAAATTTCTTGGCATGCCGAAGGATTCCTTCACTGGAAAAGAAATTTCACAAACTGACAGTACTATGGTACTATGACAGTACCACTCTTGAATTTACTGAATTGTGAGATGTGTCCCAGTACTTTTGTCCATATAATGTATGTTGAGTTGTATACAGACAGAGACACATACACATTTAATACGGGACACATTTGAACAGAGGCTAAATGTGAGCATCATTATATATTTGTAAGTTTGAGGCCTATCTAAATGATATCTAATCTATTAGATATCAAAAGAATCTAATCTTTAGATTACTAATCCTCCTCTCCGTCTATCTTTCCATCCATCCTTCTTCCCATCCATCCATCCTTTTTCCATATCTGCTTGTCCACTGATGGGTTGCGATGAGCTTGGAGCCAATCACAGGAATCATAGGTCACAATCAAAATGTAGGGCAATGTAAAGACACCCGTTCATCTAAATTGCACATATTTGGACCAGGGACGGAATGGAGGTCCACAATGCTACTCAATGCTGGGCCCCTTTTCCATGATTTGCCCCCTATTTTACATGATTGGCCTCAGCACCACACTATTCCACTGGGAATAGTGTGGTGCTGAGGTATCACCCACTGCTGGACTCATCCCTGAGGTGGTTTGTTGTATGGTGGGAGTCAAAACATGCTGTAATCAGCACATACTCCTTGCCTTCCTATCCATATTTTCCATTTTTCCTTTGTACTATGATGGGAGCATAGGGTCACTAAAATTGTATGAACCATCACTAGCCAGGATCCACAAGGCAAGAAATTAAACAAAACCAACTTCACGTGAAAGTGGCCTCCATTGACCCACCCTCGTTTAATAGCCTCCAGGAACTGCTGATTTTCATCCTCAGAGTAACTGCGAAGGTCCTCGTCGTTCACGGTGAATCCGTTCTTCCACAACCTGACCACGATCTCAACCTGAAGCAGAGAGACGGCTGGGGCTTCAGACATGCTGGAATGCTGGTTTCCCAAACTGCACGCCTGTACTTTCACTGCTAATACCTACAAAGTGGAAACCTGATACCTTATTTTCCCCTGTCGAGACATTGCCAATCTTCTCCACCTCATCAAGCAGGTCCTCCACGGAGAAACTCCGCCTCATAGGTAAATCCTTGTCACTGTTGACAGCATCATCAACCCTGAACAAAATGGACTTAGAGTTCATGTCCTCCTCATGCAATATTTTAAAACTAGTTTCTGTTATTAATTTCAAAGAGTGTGCCTTGACGTCTCTCTTTGGGTGGTTACATTGACTGCTCTATCTTGATGCTAATGAAGCGTTTATTAACGTCCAATTAAGCTCTGCTGTCATCAGGGGTGCAGTAGGGGCATGGATACCCTGGCAGATTCAGGGGGCCCGGCACTTTACAGGGGCCACAGTAGGGGCATGGATACCCTGGCAGATTCAGGGGGCCCGGCACTTTACAGGGGCCACAGTAGGGGCATGTATACCCTGGCAGATTCAGGGGGCCCAGCATTTTACAGGGGCCACAGTAAGGGCATGGATACCCTGGCAGATTCAGGGGGCCCAGCACTTTACAAGGATCCTTGCAGTTGGAGCTTCAGGTCCAGTAACTACAAATCCAGACCAAGATTTTGTTTCTACCAACCAGTTGAGTTCTCTGTGACTCTTTATGCCCAATACTGGGTCCTGGAGTAGAAAAACGGAAGATAGGGGAAAAGTGTGGGAGTGGTGTGAATTCCTAGTTGTATCCATCTATTATGTAAAGATAGAGACACCATGCACGCCTTGATGAGCAGGAAACAGCCCAAAACTCACCAATCCTCATCCTTCCCGGATTCTCTAGATTCAGTATCTTTCATTGTGTTAACACTTATCCATCTAAAAAGAAAATGTGACTTCGTTTTAATATTTTTACAATAACATGAAACTCATGAGTTTCACACTATAACAGCAATTTAGCGTTTTATAATACAAATGTAAACAACGTCCTAGATCTTTGTGGGTCATCTTATCAATTAGAATAACGGTTTAACTGGAAAAACTCTACAACAATCTACACCAGTATACATTTCCTGGTTTTGGAAGCAGGAGAGCAAGTTGAGGATAACAGATATCAGAAAACAGGAGGATAAAATACATCAGCATTGTAAAATCATGGAATCTGCTGCCGGGATAGGGACTGGGACGCCTGTTCACACGGTTGAAGAATCACGGACATTATTTTAGAAGATGCGCTTTTTTCAGCAAGAGGCACCTCATCGGTTATTAAAGATAACAAGCACAAAATTAATGGTTAATTCGTAAAAAATAAATAAATAAATAAAAATATTTTTAAAAATCAGGTTTATACGGATGTGTCATATTTTACATTGCATTCTTCATAAAGCCTCTATGTCTAATATAAAGTAAACTCAGCTAAATATAAAAGGCGCTGACGCAGGAATAAGCCATATCCATTTTTAGCGTTTATGTAGGTTTGCTGTCAAATAGGTTAAAGCGCATTTAATAGGCTACTGGAAATCATCCAAAATTAATTCAGAAGCGTTTCATTTATATGTCATATTTAAAAAACGTTGATTTATATCCCGTAACTGTAAATCAACAAAAAAGCAACTTATATTCCATAATAATAAATACCCAAATGTAAAATACAAAAACATGTGAAAATAACGTTAAAATTACACGGCAACATAAACTAGAAAAATCAACAAGCACGACCGTAAATTGTGAACGGTTAAAAACGGAAAAAAGAAAATACATCGCATCTCCAGGCAGCAGGAGGCTACACGCAATGAGTGCGTCAAAATTACATAATAAGGGAGCAAAACGCAAGAGCTCCCAGACCACCTTCAGCCATCAGCTGAATGTTACGGAACACATTTCAAGCATTTTAGTTTTATTATTATTTGCAAAATCAGAAAGGTGAGCGCTTACTGGCTTTTGTCTCCTAGTCCGTTATGCAGAAGGGGATGTCGCCTGTCAAGTTTCTGCCGATGACGTTCCTCCCGCCCCTCGCTGACGTCACGCCGCCTGCGCTCCAAGCTCTCCAGTACGTCCAGTTCTGCTTCAATGCGGTCTTTAGGTACACTGAATTACCTCAGCGTTCATGTAATAAATCAGATTAGAAATATATATATTTTTTGACGAAACATTGCATTTCTTAAACCAGTGATCTTGTATCCATGTGGAAAACTGCATTTTGTAATTAGATTTGGAGATTAGTAATTAAATATTGAACTAAACTAAAATTAACCAGTACTTATTTTACAGTTGATGCATTTACATCATAGACAAATTTCAGCATTATAATTTAACTTATACTGTAATATAAGCCTATATTCCACATGCCTCTGTAGTTAACAATGTGGTCTGACACCTATAGGATTGTGGGTTGCATTCCTATCCCCAGCTGTGAGTGTGTTGAGGTAGGGTTCTACAGTCCAAAAACGTGGTCACGTGGACTGATGACCCTAAGTTATCTTTAGAGTGTGACTGTGATGGGCTGGCATCACATGCAGAGTGATCACTGCCCCATGCCCTAGGGTGCCCTGGAGAGGACCCCGGTCCACCATGACCCAGTCATGCACCATGACCCAGTGCGGGATAAGCAATTATGAAAGATGATACATTATTGTGAATTCCCTTTGTGATTGATCTGCGGTTCCTGATAGTTCTTTGACTACAGAATAGCACAAAATAGCTGCATAACCACACAAGTTAAACTTTATAGCCCATTTTGCTTAAACACAACAAATTACATTGATCCAGAACAAAATGAACATTGATGGGGGTCATTGTAATATTTTGATGAAGAGACATATGAGAGGGAGCTTAGCTGCATAATGAAGAAGAGGAGGGAGCAGTAGGGAAAACAGCTAACTTACAACATTGACTGAGTATAACCACCGGCACATAGGAGGCGTCCACAACCACCCTGCTGATGCTTTTGCTTGCGGTGTGGTACTCTCATCCTTTTCAGCTTCTTACCCATGTCAGACTGGGATAGGTGGACAAAGCCCATTTAGACATGTTTACATCCCCATGGGTGGCTGTAGTGCCTGGCGTGGGCCTCATCTGTTATGCTTTAGCACTGGCTAACGGCTAACTCCCCTTTCCTGTGATGAGCCAAGAAGAGAAGATAACCATGACGTAACAGAGTGTTTCTCAGCTGGTGGGTCATGGGACCATTTTCAGTGGGATGTGGACTGTGAGGTTTCAAAAACAAATGCTTTTACGGTTGCCCCATTATGGCATAATGACCGAAGAAGAATGTGGGTTCGAAGCCAGATGAAAAATACTGAAGTAGCATGTTATATACGGCAGACAGACAGACAGATAGATAGATAGATGAAAGATCTATTCAAATCAGACATCATAATGACTAATTTCCTGCTAAACAAGTGCAAAATACAAGAGACCATAAACAAGGGACAGCTGATAACAGTAGGTCAGTGGTCCGGCAAGCTACTTGGAGATTTTTCTGGGAAAGATGGGTCTTAACGCAGTTCTTGATCTAGCTGTCTTCCTTTGACAACATTCATTTGACTCACTACACTCCTGTCTTTCTGTATATCACAGAAATTCAGATTTATTGCATGTAGCTATGACAACAAGACTGGATCCTCAGTTGAAATGAAACAAGTCTACATCAGTTTGCTGTAGCCATCTGGCAAAGATATGATTAACACACACACAAAGGTTTGTCTTTGTGGGGACTCTCCATTCATTTCTATGGGGAAAACTCTAACCCCAACATAATGACCTTAACCCCTACCCAGCCCTAACCCTAACCATAAATAACCAAACAAAAAATGAGACTTTTGGGACTTTTAGCTTTTTGATTGCATTCACAGATCTTTGTGGGGACCTGAAAGATGGTCCCCACAACGTCAAAAAGCAGGTGTTTTATTACATTGTGGGGGCCATTTGGTCTCTAACATAAACCTAATGCACACACAAACACAGACACACATACATGTATACAAAAGTATCCATAATACACTGCAGTTTGGAACAGTTACCAGAAAATTTTACGTAATAACATTTAAGTGTTTGCTCTGGTCTGTACAAACAGTACTAATATTCATTGGTTCATATAATGTATACATAAATAATAAATGTCGGCAATATCTGGATATTTTCATAGAGCAACCAATTTATCAAAGCTATTAGTTTTGGTACCTACATGGATTAGATACTATCCTAGGTATACCAATATGCACATTTAACAATTCCATCTGGTGATTTAGGCCTAATTTTAAAGTTAATTTTTGGCGCTTTTAAAGTCAAAGTTTTACAGTTAAACTCCAGAGGAAAACGTTATATGTTAAATCATTCCATCATTTCGCAGGGATATCTCCGATCACTCATTCTGGAGTGAGAAGGCTCGCCGTGTTCTAGCGCAGAACAGCACGTCGTCTCTACTTTGGGTTATTCTGCTGGTTATTAGGGCGGTTCGGCTTGCGATTCAGCTCTGAAGCCGGTCGGCTGAGGCAAAGCGGAAGTGCTGCACAAAAGAGTTTGGCCTGCTGACGGCGGGAGGAGGAGGAGGAGGGGGAGCGAGAGAAAGAGAAATGGCGCCTCGGCACTGCGCTCACTGAGACAGCGCCGGGCGGAGAGACCGAATCAGCTAGAGTCGAGCCACAGGGGGGAAGGAGCCGAAAAAACACCATGGTGAACACCCGAAAGAGCTCGCAACATGAGCCGCCCAGCCCCTTCATCTCGTCTAGGACCAGGTCGTCCGTCAAGAACAACCCGAACCCGGAGGAGCAGCACCATGTAAGGAGCCGGGTTCGCTCTTATTTATTTTATTTTTAAACCCCCCCCCCCCCCTTCCTCCGCCAGCCAGCGAGCGGCGGCGAAGTGTCCTCGTCTGGCCTTCCACCGACTCTTTTGTTAGGGTCCGCCGGTGGTGTCTGGGGAGCGCCGGGCGGCGCGCTGGGGCTCGCGGGCGGAACGGGCGGCCTCTGTCACCCGGCACACACACAGGTCCACAAACACAAAAGAACTTAAGTTGCCTTTGGTCGACTTTGTTTTGGTCTCGTTTCCCTTGACAGTGTGACATTCTGGGAAGAGGCGCCGCTCCGCGCCGCGCTCGTCTCTCCTTGTCCCTCCTGTTTTTTTAAGCCCCCTTTGTGCGAACCGGGGTTTGCGGGCTGGGCCGGCTCGCGAGCTGGGCTCCGGCGTCTCGCCGGCTGGGGAGCCAACTGCCTAAGAGCCGCTTCTTGCCTCTCTTCCTTCATGACGCCCATGTCCACGCCGGTGTCCCCCGGCCCTGCATATCGGCGGGTTCGGTCCACCCGGGCGAACCGTCTATCTTTTTGTTTGTTCCGTTTCTTGTTGTTTTTTGTTCAAATAAAGGGAAGCAGTGGCCGAGGTGGGGGGAAGGGAAGCCAGCGGAGCCGGGGGACCCCCCTGCTGGCTGCAATCGGACATTGTCTGTAGCCTAGCTAGCCGGCTAATTCCGCTCCCAAACTTCAAATCGGCTGCTAAAACTTTTAATTCTTTATTTAATTTTTCGGCTGCGAAACCAAAGCCCGACCGTGTCGCCTTACCAAGGCCGACTACGCGACCCCCGAGCGCCGCGCCCGAGTCTCCCTCGACGGCCAGTTTAATGTCATAAGATTTGCTGAGAAATACAAAGAAAGGAAGAGCGGCTAACGGCTATGCTAGACGGCTAACTAGGCTCCATACAAAGTCTTATTCCTGCACTCACGGCACCCCTCGAAATTAGTCAGTATTTTCTTAAGTTTTTTTTTTTTTTTTAGTTAACCGACGTTCAGCACAGAGATTCATCTGTTTCTAGGTAATTTTTGAAGGTCTGTAAATTTTGTTTGTGTGTGTCAGTATGCAGTATACATCCCCACACATTTGTGCACATATATATTATAGTATGGTTTCATTGAGATACTTGCTTATTTATCGTAGGTCACGAACATTTATTGTGCTATGGTCTACCACAGGATCTGGGGAATAATCGAAGTTTGTGAACAAGGTCTCAGTTTCAGACAAAGAGCTCCTGCCTGCTGTGAGGTCTTATCAGCTTGGGGTGGGAGGGGGTGAAGCCTGTAGCACTTGTTGGATAGTGGTATGTTTGGGCTTTGACTTGTGTTGAGTCATTCATGACTTCGTGTTGGATCCTCTTGATTAAAGCAAGTTTACATAAACAAGGCTTGAGTACAATGTTTTGAAGTTGGAATGTAATTTCTCACTGTATTCCCACAAGCCCAGCATTGCCTTTTACCTGATTCTAGATTCTTAAGGTTAGCTTAGTCAGGGTAAGTTCTGCTTGTAACAAGGCTAGGGCCTGTTAGGCTGACAAGCAAGTTATAGGCAGAGGTGGCAGAGAATAATGTGACTATGTATTACTGGGTGTCTTTTCCACATGTCGGAATTAGCTTGAGAGGTATCAGCACTGATACTGTCAAATTGCTTTCTCTTCTGCTCCTCCAGCCAGCAGGTGGCACAAATGCTTCAGTGGTTTAAATAGTTCACTTATATGAACTTAAGGCATGATGGATAGACTCCTAGAGTATGTGTGGTTCGGTGGGTAGCACTATTGCCTCACATTTCCAGGGTCAGGGGTTTGAATTCCACCTCAGCTCTGTCTTTGGAGTCAGCATGTCCCCCCCAGTGTTATACTGGTTTCTTCTAGGTACTCTGGTTTCCTCCCACGGTCCACAGACATTCAATCAGGCTAATCGGTGTCTCTAAATTGCCTGTAGAGTATGAATGTTTGCAATTGTGTGCCCTGTGATGAATTGGCATTCCATCAAGGATGTCCTTAACCTTTGGCCCTGTGCTCTTCAGGCAGGTGGTGTAGTTGTGTCAATCTTATTATTGTCCAGTCATTACTACCCTTATTACTAGGTTTGTATGGTGCTTATATGATTCATGTGAAAGAGTACAGCCGTTTTAAGCTCATTTTCTCAGTAATTATGTGTTGAGTCTATGATATTTCTGACAGTGTGATTCAAGTAGATGAAACCTGGTGTGTCCAACAGAGAGATCCAGGCAGCAATGTCAGCTGCAGCAGCGTCCGCCTTTCGCCCCCTTCCAAACGGGCCCGCAGACACACCACCCCCAGCTCCAGTGATACCTCTCCTGTTCCTCAGGCCAAAGGTCAGAGAGTCTCATGGAACATCCCACCCCAACGTACCAGGTGAGAGCCCTCCATACCCATGTGCAAGACTGTTCCCAAAAGTTCATGTAGAAGTCTGTCTGTGGTATAACATTGAATGAATAGTGGCGTTTGTTCACAAGACAGTCAAGAATGCGCTATATGGCAAAAAGTATGTGGACATCAACTTGTCCAAAATCCAATTCGAAAATCAGGGATATTAATATGAAGTTGGTCCACCCTTCATTGCTATAATAGTATCTTTTTTGTTAAGGCTTTTCTGGAATTAGGCCAGCTAGAATGTGTGATGTTAATATCTACATTGCATGTCATGCCTGTGCAGTTGTCACATAAGGACCTTGATCGTCAGTTGGGTTGAGATTGAACCTGGGCAGTACCGAATTTTCTTTTACTGTCTGGACTTTATACTGTGGTAAAACATTTTGCTCTGTCAGAGGAAGGAAAACTTGACAAACTTTGCAGTTTTAATGATTTTTTCCTTTACAAGATTTTTACAAGATGTTTAAAAATCAGTATAAAGTTTTGCTGCTGCTTTTCCATGAGCTCTTCAGGGTGCTACCTGATCCAATTGTAATCATTTTTGTGCTTGCTGCCGGTCTCACTCATAGACATTGTAATGCATTTGTGAGAAATGTAGCATAAATGAGTGAGGAAAAGCAAATAAGTATGGTCACCAAGAGGCATTCACCTTCTGCTGTATGGAAATATTTTGGAATTAAGAGGCAATATTGAGCCAAAGCAAGAGCATGGGTGTGTGTCGGAGAGTCTATCAAATAAGTTCTGTTTGCTTATAGTTTATTTTAGGTCATTTTTGCTTTATAAATATTGCAGTATTCATTGCAAAAAAATTACATTGCAATATTTTTCCAGTTTTGTGCACAACTGTTGGAATGTTGCTGGTTGCATTTACAGCCATTTAGGTTGAGTTTTGATGCTGGCTGATCAGGTCCCTTTTTGTGAGTTTGTGTGGCCGACCACTTCGCAACAGAGTTTATTCCCAGATGTTTTTGTTTCACGATTACTGCCCTTGCAGTTGACCTAGGGAGAAATGTGGCAAACTGGCTTGTTGGAAAGAAGTGAAGTTAAATATCACTAACCTCTTCCATATGACTGGTCATTCTATTACCAGTGTTTATGGAAACTGCATGGCTGTGTGTTTAATCTATATCAGCAGTGGGTGTGGCTTAATTAGCCAGTTCCTGTTCCTCTAATATGGGTGTCCACATACTTTTGACTATTAGTGTATGCTTTTCATGAGATGTATTTGTGTATAATAGGTATGTATCAAGAATTTTACATATATATAATATGAGCTTCAGAGTCATTTTTTAAAGCGGGCTTGAATTCTGTTTTACTGATTATGCAAATCTTTTTTTTTAGGCTTTCTGTAGCTCTGCAGAATGGACACGGGAACATCTGTGAGTGTTCATCTCACTTTGGGTCAACCTTTCACCGGACTGTCTTTTCAAGCATTTCACCCAAAATATGACTTTACCTACATAAAAGGCATCATTACTTACTGTGGGAATTTAGTTCACTTTTAGCAAAGCTTCTAATTGTCCTATACATGCAGAGCGAAGTTGGTACTGAGTTTTTACTAGTCTGTTGCATCTTGAATACCTTCACTGTACCGGCAGTCACAGTGCTTGCATATCAATCCACCGTGACCTTATGTGGGAGTGCTTAGGTCCTAAGTTAGCAGGAATTCAGTCATTGTAAATGAACAGCGTTGCCTGTTGTTTTGCTTTTGTGGTAGGGCTGTGAGTTATCTGCCTTGTCTGTGGCATAGTTTTTTTTCCCCCTAATTGTTGAGTTTAGCACTTTTAAATGTACTGTTATATAATATATAGTGCAGATTTTTTTGAACCATTTTATTACTTCTTCCCCTGAGAAGAACTGCAGATTGAGTAGAGTATGTAATTTTTTTGTCTTGTGCTGTTGCATTGAAAAGGTGGCATTGTTAAATCACATTACAGTGAAAAATCAAAGAAACTCAATACCATGAATCACGAGTTGAGATGAAATTAGAACTTACTCGGTAGATTGCACCACGTGTTCTGTGAAAGGAAGTGTGAGTTTTTGGCATTGTGGTTTTTGTTGTGGTTTTTATCGGAGTGTCTCTTTAGCTGATGTTCCCCCCTTTCCCCCATCCTGTCTTCACTTGCACTGTTAACAGGTCACATGGTTTAATCACTGTGTATAAAAACACCTCTGGCAGTTTTGTCTGCCCTTAATTGCTGCTTAAAGTTTGAGTTCATGTCATACAGCAGTTTCTCAAGATTAAATTGAATTGCTATATATAGACATTTTAATGTTTCTCCTTCTAGTTGAGCTTTAAGGCTGTTTGTCTCCAGAACTCCCAAATGATATGGATGAAATTATGTTCTCAGGTTTCTTCAAGAAATAATAGTGGAAAAACAGGTCATTGGGTGAAGCATTTTTTTTTTGTAGCCTGCCCTGTATGGAGAAAGAGACTGTTTGCTGTCTGAGGGCGCGGCAGTTCATTTATAATGCACGGTCCGCCTTGCCATGTTGATTTCTAGCCCGTATGAACCTGAGGAGCGAGGATGCAGATGCTGGCAACCGCGACCATGCCCACATGAACGGGCACGTGGAGCTGAAGAGGAGCTGTCGCTCCCGCAAGGGTCGGTTCGAGCATGTCAATCAGAGCCTGCTCTTCGATCAGCTTGTCAACAGGTAACTGGGAGGGCTTGGCTGAGATGGCACCATAAGGGTGCTCTCACAGGGAAGAGGATTTCATTGGGCATTTTCACTGCTGAAATTTAATTGTTACTGGTGGTGTTATAGTAGAACATACAATGTAGATGTGCTCATGGGTTGTTATGGATGTTACACCAGCTGATGCAAAGTAAATGGTGCATTATGAGAATAATGATGTAATTGGTGCCCCTGTATGTGAGGATAATAGAAAACCCATCGTTAAAACCAGCTAATAGTCTCTGTTATATTTCTGCTGCCCTCTTCAGTCTCAGTGTGAATATGCTATTCTATTCGAGGGAATCCAGACCAGGCAGGAGAGCCGTGGGTATTTGGTGGGTGGCAGGTGGTCCTGTCGTAGACCATTCACCTTCACTCTTCTGTAGTCACCAACTGCAGTTCATGTCAGGCCTGGTCTGAAGACCTGTGATGTTTCAGATTAATGAGGGTGATAAAGTGGCTTGTTTGTGAGCTTCTCTCCCTGTTTGCAGTACGGCAGAGGCGGTCCTGCAGGAAATGGACAACATCAGCAGCATCCGGCAGAACCGGGAAGTGGAGCGTCTCCGCATGTGGACGGACACAGAGTTTGTGAGTGTGCAGCCGCCGCCTTTTGGGAAGGTGACAGAAAGTGTTGGAATACAAGCGGTGGAGGGTCAGTGCAGTGGGTAGGAAAATGGACCCGTAACTCAAGGGTTGCTGGTTCAAGCCCGAGGTGGGGCTGTGCCTCAAGTGATGCACTTAACCCTTTCTATCCATCTGCGGTCTAAAGGAGAACATGGACATGTACTCGCGGGTTAAGAGGCGGCGGAAACCTCTCAGGAGGAACTCCTACTCGATCCAGACGCATCCCAAAGTGATGAGCGAGGCAGAGGCTGAGGAGGAGGAAGTGACGGAAGGTGCGTATCACGACAACGTGGGGGTGTTGGGAGCTCGTGCTGAATGGACTGGAATTCACATACACGCTTCCCACCCCTTGGAAAGGTGGTATTTGAACAAACACCTTGTTGCATGTTTTTTTTTTTTTTTTTTTTTAACCTGGGTCTCAGATTCTGTTTTACCTTCAGGGGAATGAGTATTTGGATTAGATGACAACCCCAATGTACTGTATGGTGTTTGTTTACAATACAGATCTCCCACCGTAATGTGAGGGCAAGGTGATAGTTTTGCCAAGGTGACAGTCAGACAGTCAGCATATTTACATTCTCACTATTCCGACTAAGACCAGACTTTAAAAGTACAGTAGAGTCTTGCTTATCCGACAAATGGGCTGGCAGAACGTCGGATAAGCGAAAATGTCGGATAAGGGGAGACACAGCCTACTAAACGTCAAGCTATTTTATTTTACACATTACGAACCTAATAATCATGTTTTACAACAAAACAACAGAAAAAAATAACTGAAAAAATGAACTTACAGAATTGTCTGAAGTTAAATACAGTATGTGCTTAATTTCAGTCCTGTGACAGGTGCGCCGCTGCACTGTCAGAGTAACTAATTAGCTGCAACAAAAAATAGATTACGCTCGCAACTTGCAGTTCTTGTTGCCGATTGATGCATTTTTTTTTGCGGTGTAACGTCTGATAATATGGAAGGTCGGATAAGTGAGACTCTACTGTACATGTAATCATCTTAGTTCGACTGAAATCATTCTAAATCAAGTCTCTTGGCCGGATCAAGACACCCAGATAATGCGATTGGTAGTTGTACTCCTGCATATCTACATTCAATTTGACTGAAAGTGGCCTAGGCGCTCTGCGCATGCTCTCCCCCCGCCCCAAGCAGAAGATGCTTGGAGCATAGCAGAGGTTGCGTTGTTGGCGTCATCTGCTTCTGGATGCACCACAGCCATTAGGAACAGCGTGCATCTTGTTTGTGAAATGCACTGCGCTGTAAAACTACCCAATTCACCACTCAACTAAAGGGCACTTTCCCACCACACCAGGTACTGTACTTTTGGTACTTCAAGAAGGTACCAAAAGTACGGTACTTCAAGGTGTTGGTTTTCCACTGGCATACCATCGTCAAGACATCTCAACGCAAGGCGGGGTATCATATAATGAATTCAAAAAATGGCTGTAGTAGGACAAAGAAATTCAATATTTATATCAACATTGCATGTTATGCGCTTCCAATTCTTGCATTGCTGGTCAGCTAGATTATTGCTGCGTTCCATTTTAACTCGTAACTTAAATTCCAACCTTCTAGTCAGAAATTTCAACTGGAACGCCCCCTCAAGTCCAAATACCAACTGCGTAATGTGTTATCCACTGATATTGCTAACGATGGCTAATTAACTGGGCTAGAATTGGGGCCCATTTCATTAAGCAGGATTTCTTGCTTAAACAGACAACTTTGTGGATTTAAGGTATTTTGGGCTAATTGTATGTGAACAAAGATAAAGGCCGTTTAAACTGCGGTAAATGAAATCCAGCAAGTTATCGAAGTAAGCAGGAAAGCTTGCTTTTTAAAACAGGTCCCTGGCACTGCTAAATGGCTTCCTGACTATGTACTGGAACACTGTTAACTCGTGTGTGATGTCATTCCCTGTTCCAAGTTCTGACCTCCGAGGTAAATGGAAAGCAGCACAAGATCAGCCTTTTTCTTACCTTGTTACATCTGTTCTTCCAATCAGATCGCAATTGAAAACTGTTGTCACTTCATTTGTCCGTGCATCCATTACTATTCATTTGTGATCTGTGATGTAATTGGTCAACCAGAAAAGCCCAATACTAACAAGCTGAAAGGAGCCATATCGGCACCTATCGTAGTGGAGTCACACATACTTCGGTCAATAAATCAAATCCCCTCCCATGTATGTCTACTGGGACAAGGACGGTAGTTCGATTTAAATGGCATTATCAAGCTATAACTGTAGCTCGACTTAGCTGTGCATGTAAATGTACTGAATGTGTATATACAGTAACTGTCCTGATGAGTGTACATGCTCTTTCCTCGTCACAGCATGTGCGTACATTTAATATTAAGAAATATGTAACACTGACGAGTGGCATTAGCGTCTTAGCTGACGCGTTTCATAGTGACCTGTTGTGTAGAAGGTTAAGCGTATTACTCATAACCGTCGCTGCTAGCTACCTCCCTTTTCCCAGGAGACGAGGAAGCATATCAAAGTGAAACGTTCCTCTGTCATAAAATCGGGGTGCCGAGCTTGGAGATGAAGCGCTCTGGTTGTGGGAAGCTCTATGACCGTGGCCTTCTTGACTGGGCCTGTGTAGGTCACTAGATTAGGGGTCTGTGACCATATCCAGAAGCTTGTGGGCTTTGGTCCTGTAGCTGCCAGAATAATATCACAATTGGGACATTAGGCACAATCCTTAACCCCAACTGCTACGCAGTGCTGTGACTTCGAAAGATGTGGTCACCTGTACATTCATGTGTGTCTGGCTCACTGAGGGAGACCAGGTTGGAATCTGGAAACTGCCTGATTTTCCCCATTTGATTTTTGTTTTATTCTATCCAGTCCCTCGGAGTGCAGGTTCTGTCCAAAGCCTGTGAGTCAAGTTAACATGGAAAATGCAGTGGCATTGCTGCTCTCGTGCAGGTTCTGTCCTAGGCCTGAGAGTCAAGTTAACATGGAAATGCAGTGGCATTGCTGCTCTCATTGTTGAGAGTTTCTCGCCCCCATTGACAGAGTCACATGAGGAGGGTGAGGAGGACGACGAAGACGTAGAAGATGATGACGACGACGACGACGACGAAGGGGATGAGGCAGAGGAGGCCGGAGAAGAGAATGACAGGCGCTACAACCTGAGGCAACGGAAAACTGTGCAGCGATATGAGGCACCTCCTATAGGTAGACCCCCCCTCCACCTGACTTCACTGAAGCGTCTGATTGGTCATATTTCATTATCCTGTGGGACCTTCTCAGAAGCATCCCAATGAGAAGTGTTGCTGTTAAGTTTACCTTCTGGGATTATGATTATTATTATTATATATTTTTTTTTTACAGAACCTGTGAATCGGAAACCGAGCAAGAATGCATTGTTTGATACGCATAGGTCTCCAGCACGCAGAAGCCATATAAGGTACTTTTGGAAGTGGGTTACTTGTGCTGGTTATGTGTGTTGAGTCAAGAACTGATAGTGGCAAGACTTTGAGAGAAAGGTGAATTATGAATATGCTACTTTTATGACGTATAACATCACCTAGGGCTTCTGCAGTTTGTTAGGATATTCAGGCTGCTTATTTTGATGAAGGCCTGTTGTCCTCTTCCTCACCACCAGAGTGAAGAAGCACGCCATCCACAGCAGCGATACGACATCGTCATCCGATGAGGAACGCTTTGAGCGCCGGAAAAGCAAGAGCATGACGAGAGCACGTAACAGGTAGGGGGAGGAAGGAGCCCCGAGCTTTGATGGCGTTGGCCTCTGCTGGTTTCAGACTTCTGGTGGGCAGTCTCAGGCTATGCTCCCATCCCAAACAGGTGCCTCCCCATGAACCTGCGGGCCGAGGACCTGGCAGGTGGCTTGCTACGAGATCGGGTCAAAGTCGGTGCCAGTCTGGCAGACATAGACCCCATGAATCTGGACACCTCTGTAAGTCCCCCATATCCCTATCAGGCTAGCAGGTAGCTGGGTGGTTAAGGAACTGTCCTGACAAAGCTGTCAAGACCAAGGAGGTACTCTGAAAGAGAGATCCTAAATTGTACCAGTAAATATTCAGATACCGGTTTTAGTCGCATTTTTAACAAAGATGAAGATATGTCAATGACTGATGAGGATTCGCATGAAATTGCTCCATTCTGGGTGGGAGGACAGAGAAGGTTCATACATGACCATAGACGTTGCTGTGATGATGAATGTGTGCTTTAATGACCATTCGAGTGTCCAGCTCACAGTGACTCCAACACGGTCCCCTTGTGTTCAAGGTGCGGTTCGACAGCATCGGAGGCCTCAGGAATCACCTTCAGGCCCTCAAAGAGATGGTGGTCTTCCCCTTGCTTTATCCGGAGGTCTTTGAGAAGTTCAAAATCCAGCCACCCAGGTGAGGCACTTGAGAGGTCAACCGCTGATGCAGTTGACTTAAAGCGGCTGATAAAAGTAGGTCAAAGTAGTTAAGATTAGCTATTTCAAGTGTGCATTTATCATGCTAGTTTGTCACCCTCTAGAGCTTCTGCCTTCACTAGTTCCTGGTTCCTCCTTGCAGAGGCTGTTTGTTCTACGGACCGCCGGGCACAGGGAAGACGCTGGTGGCCCGGGCTTTGGCCAACGAGTGTAGCCAAGGCGACCGCAAGGTGGCCTTCTTCATGAGGAAGGGAGCAGACTGTCTCAGCAAGTGGGTGGGCGAGTCAGAGCGCCAGCTCCGCCTCCTGTTCGACCAGGCGAGTGGATGCGCAGATCGCGTGATCGGCCTGAGTGAAGTGGATGACATCATTAGTGGCATTTCCATTGTCCTAGATTTTGTGCATTTTGAAGATAACTGAAAAAGTGTTAATGAAAGCACTCAAATTTATACATTAATACATTAATTGTGTGGGGTGGCTTTTATGGCAGTTTGAATGGAAACAATTAGCAAATTATTAGATACATTGGGCATGATGTCAAGGGTTTGATTTCCGGCTTGGCTGATGTACAACACATGGATCTTTATCTCGGGATGATATAAGGCAAATATTTGCATGAGATGTATTAATGGGAACAAATCCTATTTGCAATTGTTTTCTTGACATAGAAAATTCCCTTATTTGCTCAAAGCTTTAATGGAAATGGCTGTTGATTGCCCGACGATGAGGGCCTTGTCCTGAAGGTGGCATCGCCCAGTAACATGGTAGGTGTCTGCTCTCTGTAGGCATACCTGATGAGACCCTCCATCATTTTCTTCGATGAGATCGATGGCCTGGCTCCCGTCCGCTCCAGCAGACAGGATCAGATCCACAGGTATCTTGCGGCACTTCGCTCGACGTGATGGGATCCATACCCATTTTGTCGAGAAGCGCTAGGGTTGAGGAAATCCCATGAGGTGTCTGAATGTTTGTTTTTAAGAATGTCCAATGAAGTCCTCCTAAAAAAACTTCCTGTTTTAATCTGTATAACAGCTGTTGTAATCAGTATCAAAGCAAGCACTTCAATATCTGTATCTGTGAGTGTGTTTGAGCAGAAGTTGGTTTCCTAATGCTCAGTGATTGGATGTTCAGTGTCCTTTTCTGCAACTGGAAGCTGCTTGTCCTGACCTGTCATATGCCTGCCAGGTCTTTGATGTATCCATGAGCGGTTTAACAGAACATCCCCTACCCTGTCCTGTACCCACAGCTCTATAGTGTCCACTCTTTTGGCCTTGATGGATGGCCTGGACAACCGGGGGGAGATAGTGGTCATCGGTGCTACTAACAGAATTGACTCTATTGACCCTGCACTCAGGAGACCTGGTCGCTTCGACCGGGAATTTCTTTTCAGCCTGCCTGATAAAAAGGTGAGATTCTGGCACTTTGTAGGTCGTCTGGGCCGTTCTCCATTTGGCTTTTTGGCTCTTTGGCTCTTCGCTTTTCACCGCGTCCTATGATCAGGTCCAAACCCTGCTGTTTTTGTAGTGTTTACAACGGGCTTCTGCCCTCTGAAAATAGCTTGCAGCACAGTTTTGTTGGAGAATTTCTCTTTTCAGCAGTATAATAGTCCCGGGGGGGGGGGTTTGTAACACATTCGCCATATGTAAGTATGTGAACGGGGATATTGGAATGTGTTGGCACAGGGGGTTAAAGGGTTGATCACCTGCAGATGAAATGCCATCTTCTGTCCACAGGCTCGGAAGCACATTCTAGACATTCACACGCGGGACTGGAATCCCCGGCTGGTGGGATCTTTTGTCGAGGAGCTGGCTGAGAAATGTGTCGGTAAGCAGCTCACAGGTTTATCGGCGCCTCCTCTGCTTTAAAACCCCTCCATTTGCGCATGCATGTGGACGTCTATGTCCCCTGTCTGCCTCGGCTGCACCTTCTTAACCTAAAGACCCTCCTGCATGCTGCTGGCTTCCCTAAGGGAAACATGAGTAAAGATGTGTGACCTCTTCAATGCTCCCTTATCCAGTCAGCCTGGGTAATGCTTGTCTCTGTAGAAATGATGCGTGTTTGTATGTCTGGTAATGTAAGAGTGACCAAGCTGCGTGCTGGTCGGCGCCCCCTGCTGACACCCCCGTGCCACACCACCTCAGGCTACTGTGGGGCCGACATCAAAGCACTTTGCACCGAGGCGGCGCTGGTTGCGCTCCGACGCCGCTACCCTCAGATCTACAGCAGCAGCCAGAAGTTCCAGTTGAACGTGGACTCCATCGTCCTGGGCCCGCGGGACTTTCAGTGCGCCATGCGCAGCATCGTGCCTGCTTCCCAGCGCGCCCTGCTGAGCCCTGGGCGGGCGCTCCCCGGCGTGGTGCGCCCCCTGCTGGAGAGCACGCTGTCGGAGGTGCTGGCCTGCTTGCTTAGAGTCTTCCCCCACGCAGAACCTTCCCTCAGGGACGACACAGGCGGTGAGACCCTGATATCCATTGCTGTTTAGCAGCCCTGATCAGCCCATTCACCGCTTTTGTGCTTCTGCTGTCTGACATTATGAAGAAATATAGTTAATACCACCATTTTCTGCGGGTGAAGTGTCGCTATATGGCTTGTTCTGAAAATGAAAGGTGCTCTATGTTCTGAGGTACTGCAATCAGAAGCCTATTTTCTGCCTGAAGGCACAGTTTCTAGGTGTTTCTGTAAGCGATTCAGTTTGCGGGTGCCGAGCGTGGTCTGCCGGCATACACCACCTCACCCCAAAGGCCTGCTGGTTTCCCTGAACAGACGGCGACAATCAGCTGCTAGAGGAGGACTCTCACGGTGACTATGATGACCACGACGATGGTGCTCCTTCGATTTTCGATGTTCATTCAGGATCTCCAAAGAAACAAGCCCCTCAAGCTGGGCACCGGCCGTTCCTGCGTTTTACTGAGTGAGTCCGGCTGTGCAGCACGCTTTACTCCCTTCAGCTATTTTGAAGGCGCCTTTGGTTTCTTTAAAGTCTCATCCTCTGCTCACTGGACTTTACATACAAAATACACCGGCTTAATCTTTGGGAATCTAACAGTTATGTCTGACTTAATTCTGACAGCCTGACCTCAGGGTATACACCTTAAGAATGAGAGAGGGAACATTATTTTAATCTTTTTCGCAGCAACATTTTAATTAGTGCGTCTGTTAAGCAATATTATCTCGTAGTGTGGTGCTGCTGCCACCTGATGGATTGTTTGGGAATAACTCCTGCAGCTTTTTTATTTCTGAATGCATTTGCCTTCTATTTGAAAATATCAGTTGCGGGATGTTAATGTGTCACTACCGTTTGTGGGCATAACACGTGAACAAGCCACTGTCACTGGCATTCGTATCTGGGTGTAATACTCCTAGCAGTCGTGATGTGGCGAATCTGAGGTCTGGCCTTTGTGTGGGAGGCTCAGGCTGTCTTCCTGTTTTCACCTTCCATAGGTTAGCCTATCAGCAGCCACTCTCATGCCGGCCTCGCTTGCTCCTGGCGGGGGACCGGGGCTCGGGGCAGACCACGCACCTTGCCCCCGCCGTCCTGCACCACCTAGAGCGGTTTTCAGTGCAGCGGCTGGACCTGTCCACCATGTACTCCGTCAGTGTCAGGAGCCCAGAGGAGTGCTGCACACAGGTGCGGTCTGCTGGGCTGATGAGAGCGCCCCCTGCCTATCGTAGTCCGTATGACATTCCCCTGGGAATCCTCTCCCCCGCCCATAACTAAGCACGGTCCCCTGCCTCCCTGCAGGTGTTCCGGGAGGCCCGTCGCTGTCTCCCCAGCGTGGTGTACATCCCCCACATAAGCGAGTGGTGGGACGCCATGGGGGACACGGTGAGAAGCACCTTCCTCAGCCTGCTGCGTGACGTGCCGTCGTTCTGCCCCCTCCTCGTGCTGGCCACCGCCGAGACGGCCTTCCAGCACCTTCCGGACGAGGTGAGCCTGGCCGCCCTTCACACCGTCGTCTTCTGCTGCTTTATCTTTTACGGATTCTCCCCCTCCTCCCTATGCTTGTCATTCCTTATTTCCTATTTTGGACAGCAGGGGGCTTTGCCGTTCACTTTCAGGATCTCTTGAATGATTAAACAGACTCTTGTGCATTTCAATCATTTTTAAAAAAACCTGTATGCTATAAACCCCTTCAGTCTGTGCTATTGTTCTTATTTTGGGGTTCACAGCATGTGATCTTGCCCCCGGAACTGTGATCAAAAGTTCCCCGCATCCTGCCCTGCAGGCTGGCTTTACCCATGGTGCATTGCAGGGGGCTTTATGTTGCTAGTGGACTGCTTGATCACCCCACTTCTCCCCCCACTGTAGGAAAGGCGCACTCTTGCAGCGTTAAGTGAAAAGTGCCTTTTTCTCAGACATGAATAAAAATTTATAGCAGTTTTAAATTTTTGAGCTGGAGGAGATTGAGTTGCAGCCAGTGTTTCTTCGGGGTGGGGGGGTGAGGTGCTAAAATGTTCTCCCCCAGCAACTGAATTGTTCCCGGCTGCTGGCCATTTTATTACCTGTAGGCCTGGACACAGAGGGCAGGAAGCTGGTTAAAAGCCACATTTGAAGCACAGTACATTGGGTCCCGTCCCACTTATGGGGGAGTTTAGGCCACCTGCTCGCTCCAGCCGGGTGTGTGCAGGTTCAGTTGCCAGCAGTCGCCCCTGAGCGATGGGTCTCGACCCACAGCTACAGTGTGCTGCTGATTGGATTTGGGGTACATTTATTCCACCAAAGCAGAATACAAGTGAGACAGATGATGCATCACAAACATACAGCTCACCAAGAGCCCACTTGGGCACGAGTGCTGCCAGGCTGAGCTCCCGATGAGTGACCAGTAACAAATCCGCAAGCCGTCACATGCAAACATCCCGAAAAGCCGTTCAGGTAGTTGGCTGTGGGAGCGCTTGGCAGGGTCCTCTTGCCTTGGCGATTTACAGTGACTGTAGTCCAGTGGCCCGTAGAATTGGCAGAAGCGAGTGGCAGGGGAGTCGGGGGGGGGGCGGGTGGCTGACAGACGGTGCGGCCGCGTTGGCATGACCGGATCGTAGCGGTGACTCAGACCTCCCCCCTCACATCTAAAAATTAGTTTCCCTTGTGAAACATGGACATGGAGACCTCTCCTCCGGCGTTTGTGCGGGAGTCTGCTCAGGGAAAACATCACCGGGGAGGAGAGTTAGTGGAGCCGCCATTAAAGTGGCTGAATGAGGAATCGGGGTCCTGACCCAGCCCTGATTGCATTGGTTCTTCGCATTTTTCTCGCCCCAGTTGGAGCTCTGTGGTAGAGGGGAGGTATAGTTCAGCCTTCAGGGCTCGCTGTGTTACTCCTGGTCACCTGTTTCTGCTTCATCACGGGCAATCGGCGTGATTGCAGTGAAATGCTCCAGTCATTGTCACGTCCCTGATCCAGTCGTATCAGAATGACCAGCAGCAGCGGCAGTTGAGTTTAATGTGTCGTTTATGGTCGCTGGCTTTGAGGCGAGGCCAGCTGCTAGGCTTCTGGACACGACCGGGGGAGAGGTGGTGGCAGGCTACTTCAGGAGCGTCAGAGATCTTGGAGTGACGGCTGTATGCTCAGTGGGTCGGGCTGGGGCCTCAGGGGAGGGGGGCTGTCACTCACCCCGACACGCGGAGGCTTGTCAGGCTTTTACACACCTGCGTCCCACTGGCAGGATGCCTTGCTGCGGGGCCTTGTTAATCCGGGGTGTGTTACCGTGAGAATGGGGGGGGCAGCTCGTGCGCTGCATCCCTGCCGCTTGGCCATGCTTGATGGGAGCGTGAGCATGGCATGGGCATTTTAAACGCTCAAACCGGGGGTAAATGGGCACGCTAGAAGCACTCCACGTGCACGCCATCACAAAGGGCTGTGTGGCACTACTTTTATTTATTTTTTTTTATTTAAAAAAAAAAAAAAAAGTCTGGGGCGTCATAAATGTAAATCCCAGCTTGGGGATTTCACTGCTTGATGCTCCGAAACAGGATTCGCTTATGAGGAATCTTCGTCTGTTGAGTTTTCAATTGATAAAATGGCTTTAAGTGAACGGATTAAGCGCAAATCCACAGTTCCGCCCCGTCTGTGTGTCAGAAGAGCTGCTCTGCCAGGGAAGTTTGCCGCTCTACTTGCCGCCCTTGAGGCTGTGTTTGTCTGACTTTCACCTTGGCTCTGTCTCGGATCTTCATTCTGTGGTCCGTTGATGCGCAGCCAATAAGCCGGTTCCCAGTTCAGCGCCTTCTTCATCCGCTTGAATTAAGATAATTACCAGGTGTCTGTTCTGGGCTCGGCGTCTGTCTTTGTGCAGCGCACAAAGACAAAGGGTTCAATGCTTAGTGCTTTTACGACCAGCCCAAGGTTCTAGGTTTTTTAAAAAAAAAAATCTAATTTTTAAGGAATGGTATGTTTGTATCTTGGAGCAAAATGAAGAATTTCAACTTTAAAAACATCTTCTCATGGGAGATGGGTGCTAGTAGACGCTGGAGTCTACATGCTGAGCTCCACACAAGGGAATGAGGATCCCATCGGCCTGACCCTGGTCTTTTACTTCTGTCCTGTTTAGCTCGTGGCCTGCCTGGGCAGAGGAGATGTAATTGTCTGGGTTTCAGGTGTCTGTTAGGTCTGATCCGTTATAGGAATCGTTTTGGGTAATTGGGCGATTCAGAGCGCATGTAGCTGCTGCTTGTAAACACAAGCTGATTTTGCCGTACTGGGGTCCATCCTTCACGCCTGGGTTAGGTTCTTTTCTCTGCCCTGCAGGGGGGGAACTGGCTTTGAGTGACCCCACAAACCTGACAAGGTATCTGCTCTTTGAACAAAATTAATATAATCATTGGAGTTGGAGGCAGTTGACAGTGAATGGCCCATTCAGTGGGCTGGGTGTGGCGGATAGGGCTGGCGCCCCCTAGCCCTGTGGAGGAGTGGCACACAAACCTTTGTCAAATTTAATGGTTAAAGTTTTGTGGTGGCTAGCCATCTAGCATCATCCATCATGCTTTATCCCTTGCTGTCCCTATGTGTGTGTGTGTGTGTGCGGCTGACTGACCTTTCACTTCAGCATCGCTCATCCCCTGCATGTCCATGTGTCTGTGCAGTTGAAGCGCCTCTTCACCATGCAGTATGGGGAGGTGGTACACCTGCGCCGGCCCACCGAGGACGACCGCAGGAAGTTCTTCCAAGACCTGATCCTGGTCCAGGCGGCTCAGGCGCCGAGCTGCAACAGAAGAGCGGGTACGCCTCCCTCCCCACTCACCCTCTGATTTACCGTCCCACTGAAGAACTCTGTCAGAGTGTTTTAATGCCTTTAATACGCACCGGCGTCCCCAGCCGACACCGGCAGCTCCGTCATAGTCAAAACGTGGAATTAAAAGCGTTTGTCACGTCGGCGCAGTTCTGCCGCGGCCCACCGTCTCCAGTTCTGCCCCCGTACTGCTCGTTCCCGGACTCTGGGTACATCACACTCCAACACAGAGTTATTGTCTCGGATGAAGAGCATCTGAAGTCGACGGGGATGATGTAAGCGGCAGCTCGAGTGCCTCCCTTCACGCAAATTGAATTTGCCGCCTGGCTGACTGGTGTTTGAAAGGGTTCTGCTCTCCTCGAGACGGCCTCTCTCTCTGACAGCTCCGAGCGAGGGGGGGGGGGGCAAGGCGCTTGAGAGCACAGCTGGGGTCTGAAGCCAAGAGCACGCTCATCAGAAACAAGTGGATTTCTGATGCCGAGACATTAAACAGGAAACTGGCTGCTGCCTGTAAACCCCCCCCCGCTCCGGACGAAGCAGCATCACCCTGGGCTGCTTCATTTGACCTTCATTAAGTGGACGTTCATACATGAAGCGGGGGGGCATGTTCCTCCCTTGCAGAACGGCTCTGTTTACAAAAAAACAAGTCATACTTTAGTCATACTTTTTTTTTAAGGTGATATGCTCCTGTGATGGACTGCACTATGAGAAATGTCTTTAAAGTGCAAGGTTTTTTAATCTTCTAAAGGCACAGGTGGTCTGTTTGTCTGCAGGGAGCACAGCAGTGAGTGTGCTTCATAAGTGCTTCACATTTTCCAATTGGTGTAGTGGGCGGCGTCGATGCTGTCCTGGGTCTCGCGTCTCTTCTGCGGTTCTTTCCCGGAAGGGGAACCATCTCGATTTATTTCTGTTCCATCTGTGAAACCCACAGCCGGAAGACCAAATGTGCCTGAGCATAAGTAGCCCGCAGTGATCTCTTGCTTTCGACGTTCTGGGAAACTCCTGTTTTTTTTTTTTTTTTTTTTTTAATGATCTGTTGTGTTTTCGCCGCCTCGCGTGAAGCCTGTGGCTCCATCACCTCTCCTCGTCTTCACTCTGTCCGGGAAATGCAGGATGTCGGGTGGGAGTCTGCGTGCCTGGATGCCCGTGTGCCGAAAGCTCCCAGGGCGGGGTCCGATTCAATTAATCCTGCCGGGGGCGAGTGAACGGGACTCGACAGTGGAGAGCTTTCAAATGCAAATGCGGCGCAGATTCCCCTCTGAAGGCACAGTGGGGGGCACCTGCCTGTGCTCTGCGGGGGGGCCGCTGTATAATACAGCAGACCCACTTCTATCAGGGTCTGGAGAAGCGGGTTATGCGGCCCCCTCCGCCGTTCCGTAGTTGTCGTGACACCTGCCTTCCCCGATAGCGCTGATGGGAGTGATCACCCGGCTGATCTTGGCTCATCGCTGAAACCTTTAATCACTGACTGAGACACCCAAACACGCCTGAACAATGTCGGAATCTGAAATGCATATTCTATCTTAATTTAGCTGGCCGGTTTCGCTCTAGCCGCGGTGTAACTGATGGCCCTCTCCTGTCCCCCAGCCCGGCGTGCCCTAGAGGTCCTGCTGCCGGTTGAGGACCCAGGCCCCAGGCAGCTCTCCCCGGAGGAGCAGCGCCGCCTGGAGGAGCAGGAGGAGAACACTCTGCGGGAGCTGCGGCTCTTTCTCAGGGACGTCACCAAGCGCCTGGCCACCGACAAGCGCTTCAGCATCTTCAGTAAGCCCGTGGACATCGAGGAGGTGAGCCTGTAGGGGGCGCCCCCTGGTCGAGTATTGTGCCAGCCAGGTGACAGAACACACTGATGTGTACATCACCCCACCCTCTTCTGTGGCACATTCCATAGTCATGCACAGAAATATTTGTAACATTTTAAACCTATTTGCATGTTGGTTGTTTTGATCAGGAATATGTTGTACCTAAAAAAGGAGGCTGTTAATTACCTGAAAATGCCAGTGTAAAGGATAACCAGAGTACAGAGCAAATTTGGCAGTAGGGTCAGGATTTATATGAAGATGTCAAGATGGATGCCCCCCCCCCTCCCCTGTGTTCCTCTCATCAGGTCTCTGACTACCTGGAGGTCATCACACAACCCATGGATCTGTCGACCATCATGACCAAAATAGACACACGCCGCTATCTCACGGTGAAGGATTTCCTCACTGACATTGACCTCATCTGCAGCAATGCCCTGGAGTACAACCCAGATAAGGATCCTGGAGGTAAACATTCATACTGCCCGGGTTATTTTCACCTAAAGCCCTCAGTGGTATTATGCTGCAGTGTGCTCAGCCCTGGCATGCAGTTTCACACAGCATTTGGGGATAAAATAATCCTCGTTTTGCTTGTTTGCCATCGCAAACCTCCCTTTCCTTTGATTAAAACCAGAAGGCATTAGGGGTCACCAGCATTCATTTGTCAGATTTGTTAGTATGTTAATGTTAAAAGATATAGCTGGCACTTCTCAGCGCCTGGTGAGGGGCCACTTGACAGCCGTCTCTCCCGCCTGTCTCTCCCCCCCCCCCTAGATAAAATCATCCGGCACCGGGCCTGTAGCCTGAAGGACACGGCACATGCCATCTTCGCCTCAGAGCTGGACCCCGAATTCAACCGAATGTGTGAGGAGATCAAGGAGTCAAAGAAGAAAAGGGGTGAGTCTGCAAGGGGCCCCCCGTGTCCGTATGCATGGGGGGGACGTACTCGTCTGCACACTCATAGAGCGCCGACTTCTGTTCCTGGAACGTTCCATCATCGACGACATCCACCCCAAATGAGAGGATGTTTTTATTCCGGTCCTCCAGAGAGCTTAACACTGCTGTGTTTTTGGGGCGGACCTCAGCAAACGGTGAATGCAGCAGAGCTAGTCTGCGGGCTTCCCACCGCCAGCCCCCAAGTGCAGGGCTGGGACCCCGGCGTCCTGATACTGAGACGGCCGCACTACCAGCTGCGTGCCAATTTAGCCCTTATCTCAAAGGTCTGGCTCTTTAACAGTTTTCCTTTCAGCTGGACCCCCCCCCCCACCTCTGAAGTTCAGTCCTGTATTATGCTTTGTTGTCAGTTGTCACCCCCCCAGCTGTTCCTCATATTTTTGGGGGGATACAGAGGGCATTTGTCATCGTTTCCTAATCTCTGGTTCGCCACTTTTAATTTCTACCTGCTGGCTTCTGCCCACTCCCAGTCACCCGAGATAGGAGGGTGCCCCACCCTCCCCATGGTGCTGTGACTGTGTCCGCTCCGTGTAGGGGGGGGGGGGCTCTTAATCCTGTATACACAGCGCAGTGCAGGATTAAAAACACGTCATGGTGGTCCCCTCCGCTTGCCGGTTTCTTTGAGCGTGTGTCCATGTTTGGCGGGTCACCTTTTCTCAGGCACACACAGCATATTTACGCAGAAACCTCGCACCCCCGATATGTCACTCCCCATCTTCAGGCCCCTCACCAGTGTGCCACTGGCTTGAAGCATCGCAGTGACTCCCATAGTCCTCCAGTGGGCTCCCCTGGTTGTGCCATTTGCTTACCAGGATAAGCCTGGATGTTGGCAGTGTTGCCCGCTCGCTTACTTACATGCCTTAAGATGCAGTGGCGCCGGGATGTTGGTCTGTTCATATGTGTGGCATTTTAAGGCTTTTTAGAGTGTAGGAGGCGTGACACTGGAAGCTTGTGTGTGTGCATTTTTAAAATGACGCCGTCATATCAGTCAGTGCTGGTGGCATGACCCAAAAATTTGCGGTATCAATTTTTGATTTTTTGATTTTCCCCCCAGCAAGCATTTACATCAATAAAATAAGTTTGCTAATGTTTTTAAATAATTTTTAAAAATTCATTTACATTTAGCATAATCGTGTAACCAAGATGTTTTATTAGATTATTAATGTATATTCAGTTTTATAGACTTTTTATTAATCATAACGTGTACTTAACTGGATGAGAGTTGTGTATATGGAGAATTATGTTATGAAGTTATAACTGATAGAAGGGTGCATGCAGTTGACAGGGGTCCCCATGCTCTACACAGATCCAAAGCACTTCTAGCAGTGAACAATATTACATAATTTGCTGCCTATTGAAGCATTACAGCTATGTTGTGCCTGTATGTTAAAAATACATACCATATGGGGAATTAAGATTGGTATACTGGATGAACCGGAATACCACCCAGCACTGCCACAGGTTACAGTGGAGAAAAAGGCATTTAAACTGCAACCCCATAGATGCAGTAGCATCCCTGCACACTGCCATTCCTGTACAGAGTCATTGTTCTAACCCTCCCACATGTTTTCTTTCTGAGGTATTTTGCTTTGTCTTGGGAATCTGAGACTGCAGTTCCAGCACTTGACGAAACGTTTATCTGTCGGCATAAACATTCATTGCGTGTTTCCTGCCAGTCTTTCCTGCCAGAGATTCTCCCGCCCGCCGCCTTGTGACTCGGGGGCGTGTTGGTGATAGACTGATGTGGCTGTTTTTCTGCAATGGGGGACAAGACTCTCTATCACTTGGTGAAACTCCTTTTAATTTTGATTGCTATTTTCACGTCATGCTATTGGATTTTTTTTTTCCCTGTTAAAACATACTCCTGCCATGAGTCCATCCATCCAGGGCCTAGGCTCCTCCTATCCGTGTGTTCCTCCACCCCCTTTGAGCTGTAAGGCTTTTCTCCCCCCACATGCAGGCTCTCTGTCCGAGCCGCAGCAGCCTGTCCCTCTGCTGACCCTGGCGACGAAGAAGACAGCCGGAGGAGAGGAGCCCACTGGGACTGCGGCCCAGGCCGAGACGGCAGAGAACACCCCCGCCAGGTGCATCAGTGAGTAACTCCGCATCCGCAGGCCTCAGCGACAGCCGGCCTCCCCTTCGGAGGACTCGGGCCTAAGGGAGGACCCAGTGTGCGCTCACAAACATGGGGGAAGTTCCTGTGCATTTTCCTGCTGAGCTTAAGTGCGAGTCCCACCTTCCTGATGTAATTAAGGGCCGGGTGGCAGATCGGGAGAGGGGGGGGGGAGCCAAAAGATGCATGCCAGGCGCCCTGAGCCCGTTAGTCTCCCCAGGCCTGTTTTAAAACAAATGGAGACCCTGCATGGGACCTGGGCGCTTTGGCAGCTCATGAGGCGTCATCTGGCCAGATCGCGTGGAAATGGAGGTGATGCTTGGAGCCAGAGATCCCTACAGAGTCCTAAAGGGATCCAGCGGCTGCGTGTAATTCTGCCGCCGATCCGCTCAGCACTGGCGCGTTCAGACTCTTAAGTGATACTTTAATGCATGTTTGTGCCGCATGCCAAGCAGACGGTCGTGTGGCTGCCACAAACAACCACTCGTGGCATTTATAATCTGTGCGTCGGTTGGTATGTTTCTTTATGGTGCTAGTGGAGTGTGGTAAACCTACCTGTAACTGGACTCGTCAAACTATGAGAACCACATTCAACTTCCACATTCAAAATGGGTGACTGACAGCAGTAACCTCTGGTGTATTATGAGTAACTGCGGGAGATTTTTTTAATATTAAGTATAATTTTTGGATCGCTATCATCCAACTTCCAGAACACCCAGTTCATGGCATCTAGTAGCCAGCCAGTAAGGACTGTGTGAAAAATGGTTTGGGTTAATGGTTAAGTGGCCTTACACTAGAGTGTGTAAACGATGTGTACATTTATGCTGTCTATGGGGAATGATTTCGGCGTGCCCTTGTATCATAAAACACTGATATTCCTGTTTATTCTCCCTGATCCGCTTCAGCGGTCTCAGCACAGCTGTTATTTACCCAGGTCATACGTTCTCACCTCTGAGTCCAGGTGACCGTTTGATGACATCGAGGGGACGGTAGTTTTTATGTTGGCATGTTGACCCAATTGTCATTGTTTTTCCGTAACTCATGCTTTTCCGTAACTCATTCGGTTGCAGCTGTTTTATAATAACAGTACATGTTTTGTGGTGTGGCATCGGGACATTCTTTCTAGTTAGTCTTACTAAGGAAATCATGTTTCTCAGAAAGTGTGACATGAGTTAAGAGAAATTTGCTAGGAATCGCACAGGTTAGCATGTTTTAGAGGTTTGTCAGTGCATATAATTATTTGCACCTTGATAGTGTCTGTACCATTTTGATATGATTAGTGTGTCTCATTCAACAGTTAGTGGAGTGTCCTGTAAATATTTCAGAGGCTTGCAATGGGGCAGGACTCCCAGTAACCGTGAAACCACAGGAATCGCCCGGGATGAGAGTAGCGGACGCTGATGAGGGTCCACAGCATGCAGTGCTAATCAGATCTGCACCGTATGTTCTGTGAGTGTTTCTAAAAGGTTTAATGGGGTTGAGAATGTTGCAGCACTGGCTCCTGCAGGTTGGCTGGCTGTCTGTCTGTAAGTCCCGTCCAGTCTGACCCTCCGTGACCCCAACCCGCACAGTCGTGGGCCAGAGTCTGTTCTGGCCGTCAGATTGGGCAGGCCAGCCCAGCAGGTGGTCTGTGGAGAGACACTCTGAAACATCTGGGCCCCTGACCCGATGCCCCCTTGTCCTGGATTTGGAAGCCGCTGCTGGCATGTGAGATCTGGACGTTGGCACCACGCTGCGGGAGATGAACCGGTCGAGCCTGGTTCGTGGGCACGTGCCAGAACCACACATAACTGAACATGCATGTATTGAGTGTAATGCTGAACTCTCCTAGCACTTTCACTTTTTAATGCTTTCTCATAATTCAGAGCAGGCAGATTTCCTGCAATGCCATTTCACACCACAAGATGGTGTAGTGCTCATGAGACATGTATTACTGCGGACGGAAGGGCGAGATCGATGCTGAAAAGGGGGCGTTTAATATGAGAGAGCCCTCTAATGAGTGGGAGCAGTCGTTAGGGGCTTCGGTGAGAGTCCTGGCTTAAGAGCTCTGCTGCTGGCCTAGGCACGCTTGCTCTGCTGACACTGCGCCCCAAGGTGAAACCAGGGCCGTCATGATGCTTAAGCTGTAAATGATCATCCCGGGTGCAGCTGCATGCTAAACCGTTTGGTTTTAATCTCACACCAGTGGTAGGATCTGTTCCTGTCTTTGTCATAAGACTTGTGGGGATTGGGTAGAAGATCCGCGTGACAAGTGGATGGGGACTTCATTTGGAGTACAAGAGTGGAGAGTGCTTTAGTGTATACTTAATGTGTGGCTCAACTGGTTAGCCCTCTGTGGCTGTGATCAGAAGGTTATCAGTTTGAATCCTGTCCTCGGCAGAATAGTCATAGTCTGTTAGGAGCTTGAGCAGGGACTCCAGGGGTGCCAGATGAATTGCTAACCCTTTCTTAAAGGAGAGAAGACCGGATGTGATGAGGCATTGCAATATGCTTGTACTCATACTTGTGCAAATGACAAAGCATATTCCATTAAAGATGAGTAAATGGGAGACACTCGGGAGAGGAAAGCAGGTTGTGGATTTGAGGGTAAGATTGGAATCCCTTAGTGCAGCTCTGGGTGCCCCTGGCCCGTGTCTGACTTGGCTGTTAGGCGCAATGCTAGATTTTCTGGATTGTGTTTTTGTTTTTTTTTTTGTCATTCAATATGGCTTGTTGACGTGTTGGGGAAAAGTCACATTCTGCCATCAAGAGTAGCTGCGATGTGCTGTCATTCAAGCAGCCAGTTGCAAACTGGGAGATTGGGGTGGGGGTGCGGGTGGCAGGGCATGCTGTCACCGCTACGCTATGCTGTCGGTGCTAGAGTGACGCCCAGTGGGTTGTGGGATGTGATGCTCTAAGCAGTCCATCTGACGGTGGCGTGTCGTAATGAGCGAAATCTGCGATGGGTTCCTCAGCTGACTTCCAAAAGTTACCTGCGTTTGGCTTGAAATTGCCGTTTTTTTTCTTTTCTAGGGCGACGTAAGCGTCAGCCGCTTCTAATTCATAAACACTGGAAGCCAAGGAAGGAGATCATTATTTGAGGCTTTTTCAAAAGCAAATGGAGGCATGGGGAGTTTTGTGTGTAGTGTGTTGTCCTTTCAATTTTCATAATGCGTCTCTTCAAGACGGCAGATCCATCAAGGGATGACCTCAGGGCGTTTTTTCTAAGCAGTGTGACTTCTACACGAAGGCTCATGTGAAAGACGACAGGGTGTGGAGCCTCTCTGTTCACTTATCTGTTTCCCATCCCCCATAGCTCCATACGATCTGTAAAGGCTTGGTGTTGGGGCTGAAGGTGAGACAGCCTTTTTCGAAGGTGTTGTCGATCCTGTGCCGTACACAGCTGGTATATAAGGCTGCATGTGAAGTAAATGAGAAGTCACTATGTGCAGTGTAATTTCCAAATGAGGCCTTCTATATCTTCCAGCAGGTGTTTGGTTTGAGACTCGAGGCCCAGTCGTCGTTCCTGGCTTTAAGCTCTTGATATCGCCCAGGCCTTACCGCTAGGGTGCTTTCTTGCAGACACCCTGCAGTCCAGCTGTTTGCTCTATTTGCCTCTTAAACACGGCTGTGCATGTTCTGAGACAGGCTGATGGCAGATTGTATACTCTTGTCAGCTGTTATCATTCTGATCTGATCCCAGCAGCTGATTGTGGTGTTTAATGTCCAGCCAATAAGTCAGACTCTTTGGGATTTGTATGAATTCACCAGTGGCTGGTTTGGGATTTTCCCAGAAGCGCTCTTCTTGTGACAGAATGCTCCGAAATGTTGTCCCACTTTCTAGCTCTGCAGCCACTTTGTGTGTGTTATCTGTCAATTTGGACTTGGACCCTGCAGTTAGGGTGCTGATCATGCAATGCCACCACCCTGTGAGATCACTACCCCTGTGCATGGAGTCTGGCTTAGCCCTGATGTGACTGTATATGATGGCCTAGTGTGTTGCCAGTGAAGTGCTGCTCTGAATCCTGATTGGTTGGTAGCAAACTAAATTGGCGGAGGTTGCGGTTCGGTCCCTGTGAGCCCTGTGATCCGAGATGAGGCTGCCGGGTTCCTCACCCTTATCTGGGAAACAGCAGGACTGTGATTGGACAGGAGCAAGTGACTGGGCCCTGGATGTGTGTTTGACAGCTCAGACATTAGAGCGGTGTGTGTGCCTGTCTTTTGCCCTTCAGTGATTTGGTGGAAAGTAGAACATTAAATATCCCGTATGTCAACATGTCAGCATTCTCACACTGGTCCATAGAACAGGTCAGAGAGGGTCCTCTTACTGTACCACACTAACAGGTACTACAAGCAGGTGCTTCAGAGAGAATAAACATTTTTCAAGCTTTGTCATTACACTACTCTCTGGGTAACAACGACCTGGATGAGGGGGATCCATCAAAGTGATGTTTTGTGGCTTGGGGAAATCTCATCATTTATGGTGCTCCTGTCTTCTCAAAGACTTTACGGTAGGTCTGCTGTTCATTGTCAGGCTTTGTATCCCGGGTTTCACTTGTAAATTTGATCAGCTTCGTATCTGACGCTGGAAGGAGCTTGTCGAGGTTGCACCCTCCCCTGCCAGATGTTCAAGCTCTCAATTCCTTTATTGGTGTGTTTGTTTGTTCATTTTCTTTCTCACGGGGCTGGAATGAACTCAAAGTAGAAATAAGGTAGAAATATGAAATGCTTTTCCCTCGGGTAAATATCCCAGGTTTGTGTCATTTATTAAAAAGTGAACTTAAAACTCAAACACAGAACAAGGTAAAGAGAACACAGTGACTCCGTAATGGCACTAACTTATTTCCACAAGGATTTCCTGTGGAACTTTGGAAAAAAGCCACAATAATCCTTTATAGACTGTGATGATTAAGAGGGGCTTGTTAATTCCACTCGCCGCCCCTCCAGTTGCCCTTTTACTCAGATCTTGGCTTTCTGGGGATAGATTAGATCAAATTAGA